CTGCTGACTATGGGCTAAAACCTCTACAAATTGTGAAACAAAGTAAACCTTTCTTCCTTGGAGTTATGTGTGTTGAGTAGTGTGTGTCAGGCATGATAAAAAAACTAAGACAGCATCATTTAAAATATGCTTACCATTTGCATCAACTAACTTTCCCATGTATTTGTCTTCTTCACATCCATTCCCATGCTACGATCTTAACCAATAAATAAGAAATTGAGAGATTGGGTGCTACAGTGCTCAGCACAGTCCCCATATACATTCTGTCATACAGTATGAAAATCCCAGGAACTGGGAACAAGCCTGGGGCAGACCTGTGGTTTAATCCTCCGTCATTTCAAGCTCTGATAGTAGGATCTATATCACTATTTACCTGCTATTTTATATCTTCCACATTTGAAACCATATACCTCAGGTTTGTATACACATTGGATTTATTGGCTGTTGTCCAAGTCTTATGATGATTGCTTAATGTCTTTCTATAAACTTCATTTTGTGCTATTATGAAAACTTCCATTTTGATAATCAAAAACCGTGGTGGAAAAGTTCACATAAAGTCCACGTTGTACAGAAGCACATTATCTTTAATGTCTCTAGACAAAAAAGTCTTAAAGTTAATTTAATGTTTGCACTTTAGGGTGCAACTTGAAAGAGCGGGCCTGAAGAGAGAGTTGGAGTGAGCTATAATTTTTTAGCAAAATGAATTTGCTTCCTGCAGGACATGTGTTCTTTAATTTCATAGATATTTTTAAGGTAGACAAGTTTTGGGGTTATACCAAATATAATTCTTAATAATAACCTTTTTAAAAATACTGTAGTTTTTTTCCAAAATTTATTGGAAGTTGCTTACCAGTTATTTTTCTTAGAAGTGTCATTTTTCCCCTCCTTCCCAGCCTCTTGCAAAAAAGAAAAAAAGTCTATTTCTGCTAATGAATTGAAAAGATATGTGTGTTATATGCCTACTGAGCTGAGTATTATAATCATTGTATAGTTAACCATTTTTATTTTATAATTGATAAAATAGCAATACATATTGATGTTAGTTCAATTGTGTGCATTTTCTGGGCTGTGTTTATATGTGATAATTTGTGAGTGTCCATCAGCTTATAAAAGCTTGCTAAACACTGAGGAAATGATGAAATACAAAAAAGTAAAAGAAGAGTCCAGAGTAACCACTAAGTACAAGGAAGTGTAATGTCGATTTCTAAAATAGAAGATAAAAGATGTTGAATTTTAAACTCTGTTTGAAAGAAGGTAGAAAAAAGGTAAAAGAGGACAAAGTATTGGAACACAATACTGACAGCAGTTCCAAATAGACCAAGAAGTATAAACTGTAGATGGACTTTCTCCTTACAGGATAAGGATTATTTAAGTGGATAACAACTAAGCCAAGCCAAATAATATTTGTGAAAGAGACACCTTAAAGTTAAGTATAACTATTCAACTTTCTTGATGCTGGACATAATAGCAGACACCCACAGCTTAAAAGAGGAGAGGTTTGATTTGGCTTATGTTTCAAGGAAATTCAGTCCATGGTAAGCTGCCCAAGATGGGAAGATTATAGTGGGAAGATGTGGCGAAGCAGAGATGTTGAGTTCCTACGGGTGGGAAGCAAAGCAGGAAGAAAGTACAAGATGGGTACCCAAGGCCCCACCCCCACCACTCACCCAGACATGTGCTCCTCCAATCCCCTGGCTCCCAACCAACCAGGTTGATACACCACAGCTTGACCATCACAGCACATAAAACATGAAATGTAGGCAAATGACGAAAGATGTGCCAGGGAAATGCTAAACAAAAGAAAGCTGAGGTCATGAAGTTAATGTGAGAAAAAAAATAAATGTTAGCTTAACTTTATTAAAGATAGAATATATCAGAGTGTAAAGACTTATATAACAAAGGTGTAATTACCCAGCCTTACAATTTATAACACAAAGAATTGCCAAACTGTATGAGGAAAAATTGAAGACATATGCCATCGCAATGGGGGACTGAGAACAACACAGTCATTCTAAAGATCTGATAAGGAACACCCAAGGCTTCAGATAAAATTGCTAATTAGGATATTATGCATGGATTCCAGAAAATGTCTTACCTCACACAAGTTAAATGAATGCCAAAAGTGATCCTAACAGTGACAAAGACTCGCATGTTAAAAAATGCCTGGGAAATATTAGAGTTAAATAAATTCTGAAAATGCAGGTGAGGCCAGAGATATAGCTCAGCAGCATAAGCACCTGCCTGGCATGCACAAGACCTTGCATTTGATCTCTGGTACCAAAAAGAAAAGGAAAATAAAAGAAACTATTTGGTCTGGGAGATATAGCTTGACGGTCTAAGCAGCTGCCTGTCAAGTGCAAGGACCTGGGTTCAGTCCCCATTCCACATGCCATGCCGGCCCTGGAATCCTAGAGGCACTGTGCAGGCCAGCAAAACTGGGTTTGATGCGCCACGCCTGCAATCCCACTGCTGGGGAGGCTGAGATGGAGGATCTCTGTAAGTCTGAGCTGCATAGCAAGACCCTGTACCAAATAAGTAAAAGATTTTTTAAAATTACAGAAGAAATGCAAGTAAGGTAATAGAATTTCTAAACTAAAATTGCATATAATGATTTAAATATTTTGGGCTGGAGAGATAGCTCAGTGGTCTAAGCGCCTGCCTCACTAGTGCAAGGACCCGGATTCCATCCCCGGTACTTCATACCAATGGGGGCCCCAGAATCCCAGGCACGCCATGCTGGCCCCAAAACTAGGCATGGTGGTACACGTCTGTAATCCCAGCATTGGGGAGGCTGGGACAGCAGGATCACTATGAGTCTGAGCTATGTAGTAAGACCCTGCATCCAATAAACAAATAAATACATATTTTGTGTGAACTAAATATAACAAATGAAAGTGTGGTTATTTTATGGATGTTAAACTTTAGTCAGTTGGGGCGGGCTCTCTTACGTTGGTGAATCCACTATATGTAAGCGTACATATTACATCGGAATATAATTGACAACCCATTGCCAAAACAAATACAGAAGTATAAATATTTATAGTTCTTCAAAGCAGTGGTTCATATATGATTCATTGTTGGAAGAACTGCAGACACAGGTGATTCATCATTCTTATTCAATACGTAAGAGAACGAAGACATAATATGTGTGGTTGTGTATTTCATGTTTTCTAAAGTAATGATTGAGGGTCCAATACTCATACACCAAACATTCTGTCACCTTCTTCTTATACATGCACAATAACAGCATGCAGTGTTGGTGCCTAACAGTATTTCTTGTGCCTTTTAATTAATGTGTTATATATGCACGTGCAATGCATTTAAAAATTGTACCACTCCCAAAATTTAGATCTAGTCCCAATCTAGCACTATTTTACTTTATCAAATCTATATAAAATTATGTGTACTGCCTATCAAGATTCTGTATAAACTGTACATTCAATATCAGTGCAGCTCTTACCATGAAATCAATCTTAAATTTTGTGTTTGATTTTTTAAATATGAACGAAGAGTTTATAATTTCAATGAAGTCTTGAGTAGAGGAAGAAATAATTAGAATGGTAACAGGGGGATTGTGAAGAATTTTAAGAAGACCTCCTTTCACATGGATGAATCTATCTTTACTAGACAGAGGCATTTAAGGCCAATCTGTTGATCCATTTGTAAATAAAACAAACAAAACACCCACACAACAATGTAGCCACTGAACATTGAACTAGACTGTGAGACTTTCACTATGCACACAAAGGGGTTGCTCCATCTGGATCTATGGAGTGGTATTTTTCTTTGCTTTACTTCCCTTCTCTAAATTCTTTACCTGCTTTGTCCTTCCTCAATTCTGACTCCCCCACCCCATAACAATTTAAAATCAGGCAGCTTGAAGGGCTGCTTGAGAATTGTGTTGGCCATTGAGAAAAGGTGGGTTTTGGCTAGTTGTGCTCAGTGGCTTTGAGGCTTTTTTTTTTCTTAAATACTTGGAGTAGCAACTTGCCTTCATCCCTTCTGCCTGCCTCTGAGAGCCACTGCAGGTATTGTGTCTATTCTAGAAATTCAGGAACCCAGGGCTAAAAGCCCGGAAAGAACATGGATTGCTAATTCAGCCGTCCGCATTCACCTCTGCCTCCTCTTTACTCTATTAAATTGGAACCATTACCTGACTATAATGTGAGAGATGCCCAGGGAAGGTGTCTGATACTTTCAGCCATCCATAAATGGTAGCCATTGTCAGGAACACTGTTATTATCAGCTTTATGTTAATGATCTGTGTTTGATTGCTGGGACCAGAGAACTAGAAATTTCATGAAAAGCAAGGCTAGGCTAGGCTGGACTGAGCAGGGCTGCCAGCCATTTGAAAGCTTATGCCACATGAAAGGCTTTGCTTCTATCCTTTTTTCGATAATCTTGAGACACATATTTTCTATCTACTGTTGTTTTAAAGGTCATCTTGAATTGATTCAGTCCCATATCATTTAAGCATGTCCCCTTTTGTTAACCTGTGGGTTAATATTATGACAGTTGATATTTGATAGGGCACTTGTTTCAGAAATTTTGTGTTTCATGCAAGAAAACATAAATTCTTAGAGGAAAAGTAATTTTAGTAAATAGAGAGTTTAATAGTGATTCTATTTTAATTTTCCTAATTATTTGGCACTAATTACTATGACTATATTCAGAATATATATATATAATGTAAATCCTAAGTACGACTATTTAATAAATTGCCTTTTGAAGTATTTATCACTAGGTTTAGTTTTAGCCATTCTGAAATTATCAACCCTTTGCTTAGAGAAGAAATATGTTAAATCAGTGATCCTAGGGTATCTAGCATAAAAGTCCAACTGGAATAACAGATATTCTAGGAATCAGTGAATTCTGCTTATTTATTTTTAGCAGGTAATTTAGGTGATTGTCCTGACCAGGAATAAATTGAAGTACAGAAAACTTAGGTGGTGGGTTTTCTTCTTTGGTCTGACTTGGCTCGTTTTTGTTTATGTTCTTAGGCTCAGCTATGTGAATCATGCAGAGGACCTGGCCTCCAAGCTCCTACAGTGTTCCCCAAAGAACAGACTGTCTGCACAGGCTGCCTTGAGCCACGAGTACTTCAGTGACCTGCCCCCGCGGCTATGGGAGCTGACTGATAGTGAGTATGACACCTCTGCAGTGTGCAACCAAAGCACTTTGTCACTGAGTACAGGATGCATAAGGTGCTGTGTGCATGTGTGTACGTGTGTGTGCATGCACATGTGTGTGGAGAGACCGTGCGCCCTGGGCGAGAGGAGGCAGGGCAACCATGTGTATATATTTAGTGAAATCCTGCCATTCTGCCATTCAATCTCTAGCTTCGCAGACACAGGGAGAAAATGGATTCCTCTTTTGCTATCTCTACGCTGCAGTCTGCAGCTGCGTGTCTTTGTATTTGATTATGTATGTGTCCAAAAACTGATCTGAGCAGTCATAAAGGAAAAGGAAAATATGATTTACATATTTAGCACTGTACGCATGCAGCACTATTTTAACTGGCTTCAGTACACAGAGAAGAAATGATTTATTCCTGTTTGATTCTCGGAGCCCATCTTGGTTATAACAATAACCTTAGAAAGGCCTGCTTCGCAGTGAGCTGAAGAACAGAGTTGGCCATTGGCTAACGCGCTGAATCGACATGTAAGAGCTGCAGACATGTAATTCATTTTAACTACATGGGCTCTTGGTATTTTTGCAGACAGCTTTTCTCTGTATCTTTTAAAACAAAGCACATTCCTGGGTGTATTTTTGTTTTGTTTTTACAAAGTATTCATATTTACACAGGCTTTTTCAATTACATTTAAAATATTTGGGGGAAGATTTATAGCTGGGAGGATCTAAGCTTTCATCCCAAGTGTGAAACAGAATTCTTGGGGAATTTTGCAAAATACTATAGCAATAGAAATATTTTTATTCAATGGTGAAACATTCTTCCCAAATACTATTAGAGATATTTTGTCTCGTACTCTTTTCTGGTTGTCTTAAAAGTAACATAGTTCATATATACATAAATGTTTAACCCTTGTACATAATTCAGAGTAAACACAAAGTTATTTCCTTTATCTCTAAGAGTTTAGAATTTTTCTATCCCATTGTAGTTCTAGATTTTTGTTAACAGCAATAACCCTTTGTCTTAGAACTAAATCTCAATTAGCAACTCTTGAGTATTCCTACCTGCAATCTTCTTAATACCTCACACTTATTTTTAACTACCTTTTTTACCCTGAAGTGACTATATTTATATTAACCTACTGCTCTGTAGTTTAGCAAATCCTTATTAACATTTCACATATCCCTAGTTCATATTTATTCTCTCTATATGTAGTCATACTTCCATTCTGAATGTCCACTCAGTGTTTGAAGGTCCATTTCAAAAATTGAGGATCTTAAAAAATGACACCCAACTGTTGAAATTTTAAGGCAAAATTTCTATGAATTGGTCACCTGTGTTTCTAGCCGGAAAAAAACCCCAGTGCAAACAGGTTCATTAGTTGATGTACTGTCACGTTCAAGCCTGTGATTTGTTTTCCCTGTGCAGCATCGCTTATAACTTGCTATCGCTCCTCCTTCCTGACATCTCAATCCCATCAGACTTGATGATTGAGTTTAAGCCTGGATTTTGATGGTCTGTGGATTCTGAATTCTGTAGTAGTACTTTTCTGTTAATATGGACTTATTACCCACTTGCCACTTAGTTTATCAGCCCGTGGTTAAATCCAGTTTCTATCAGCGGGTAAATGCCTCCACATTATCACTCGGCAGCAGGCTACCAGCGGAGACAGCCTTGTCCCCGTCATTAACAAGCACAATGTATGCAGAACACCAGAGGGGAATTAAAACCACAAAAAATACCTCAGGGTGGTATTTTTAATATGAGACTTTAATTTGTAATTTCACAGATTAAGAATTTTGGCTGCATTAATCCCTTTATCAGCTCACAGCAGGCTATTTGCAGAAGCATAACCATAAGGCGATATTCATTGGCAGAAACACGTCTTTGCATAACGTTAAACATCAGGAGCAGTGAAACCTTTTGAAGGGGGGAGAATAAAGATGAAAAATCATTATATTTTTAAAGCAAGATTCTGCTAAATGCCTCCAGTAACCATTTGGAGTTACAGAAATGCTATTTCTGTGTCTGGAAGATAATCATTATGAAGCATAAATCCAGTCACAAGAAAGGACAATCCGAGTATTAAGTACTATAGTCATTTCCATTTACAACAACCAACGTGGCTGTATTTGTAAACATGTTTACAAAACAAAGAATTCCCAGATTCTGGAGACTTTGGGAACTCATTCCTTTGAGTAAAATGACTGGTTTTGGTGCCTCTGTTGTCTGGGCTAATATTTTCCACATTATATTTAGAAATCTTTAACATTCATAAATTTAAATTTCAAGTTAGTGTACAGTCCTATAAAAATTCACTGGCAAATGACAGCAGCAGCAGCAGAGAGCCCCAGCGTGCTTTGCTTTCAAGGACATGTGGAAGGAGGTCCTCCTGAAAGAAGTGGTGCGAGCCAATAAGTGGATTGTCTTTGCAACCCAGGTTTAGACTCACACATCCGGGAACCTGACTGCCTAGTCTACACAGATGATATGATTGAACACTGTAGAGTGGGTGGCTTAAACAGCCATAGTCATTCCTCATAGCTTGAGGGGTGGGAGGTCCCAGAGGAAGGCACCAGCAGATCTGGTTGCTGGTGAGGACTCTTGTGGCTGTCAGAGAGCCACATCGCTGTGTCCTCACAAGTGGAGAGGGCATTTCTCTCTTCCTTTCCTTAAAAAGCAACTCACCCCATCATGATAATTCCATTCTGTTACTTCATCCCATCCTTATTACCTCCCATTATCAACACATTAGAGTTTAGGGCATGAACACAAGACTTGGGCAGTGTCCTAATTGACTCTGTTGTACTCTCATTCCATAAGATCACTGAAAACATTTTTAAAGGCTGTCCTCGGAAGTCAAGTACAGTACTTACACATGCTAGAAGTGAACCTGGGTTAAAAGGATTTGAAGATGAGGAACAAAAATAAGTTCATAGAGGGTTCCTGCCTGGCTGGCTGCTCTGCTGTGCCATACCATGTGTGATGAGCCTCCGTGTTGCTGGAGCCTGGGAAACATAACTGCAGCCATTCCATAGGGTAGCATGCAAATGAGACTGTAGCTTAGGTGTGGTGGCGCACACCTGTAAACCCAGCACTCAGGAGACTGAGGCAGGAGGATTGGTGTAAGCTTGAGGCCAGCTTGGGCTGCATACTGAGTTCAAGGCCAGCCTGAGCTGCATGGTGAGAACTTATCTTAGAGAGAGAGAAACAGAGAGAGAGAGAGAGAATATGAGTGGGAAAGAGAAAGGTGATATTCTTGTGCTATATTTTCATTTGCTTTGGAAGAATATGTAACAACGTATCTTTCTTGTTTTCTTAAGCCTTGAAACTTCATCAGGTTACTATTTTAAATAAAAGTTTCTTCATCAATTTACCTGGTGTCTACTGTCCCCAGCAGCTACAAGAGGCCCAGACTGAACAGTACTTGCAGGGGACGTATACCCACAGGTCACTCTGCAGAGCTCAGGGTTGGGAGCCGCTCCAGTGACATAGCCATGGTGTGAAATGTTAACCACATCCCAAGGGGGACGCAGCATGCCTAAGGCCACACACACAGGGGTCAAGGAGCACAGGCAGAAAGAGAGAGGGGCCCATGAATCAGTACTTTTATGGAGTCCAGGGGTTCATCTAAACAGATTTCCCTGGGGGAGTTTTAACTGGGAGATTTAAGCAAGCAGACCGGAGTTCCTGGGGGTCACACTCTGACTGCAGAATGTCCACAGACCATGCAGCATGTGAAGGTCCATGGGGTCAGTCAAGCAAGCTGCCTCTTACGTCCCATAGACTAGTTGTCACCCAGCCGCAGCTGTAGAAGGCAGATATTTGTATGGACCAGACTGAGGAATTGGTTGTGGGGAGGAGGGGATAAAACTGGAAACCCTCAAGGGTGACAACCCTGCTTTTGATATGAGAAAATCCAGCTTATGTTCCAAATTGATATGGAAGCACATTAAAACTATAAGCATTTGTTACAGTTGCATAATAGCAAAATTTAGAAGTGTTGTTTTAGTGTGTCCTCAAAGAAGAACCTATAAAAACATCAAGCATAAAAACGCTGCAGTTCCCTGGAGATCTGAAGTTCAAGTTGTCAGATGCTGGTGCCGCCCGGTCCTCCCTGTCCCAAAGCCCCAATAGCCTTGCCCCACTTTTTCACCGGGATTTAATTGCAGAGAAGCAAGCGAAAGGCTGAGTTAGAAGAAATTCATTACTCTTCCTAAATACACCACAGAGTACCCTCCTGTGTATACTATCAAGTTACATAAATAATTGAAGCCGCACTACCCTTGTCAAAGTAAATGAACAAAATACACTTCTTAGCACAGAGTCCTTGATTTTATTACATTCATTTGCTAATTCACAAAACTCAAACCCAGTAAGTGCAGACTGTACAGAGTGAAGAGCAGAGCGCTGGGCTGGGAGTCAGACCACTTGGATTCCAGCTTTCCCTCGCTGTGAACTGGCAGACAACTTTGGCAAGCACCTGAGTCCCTCAGGGCTTTCGACTTCTAATTTAGAGAACAAGTCAGATGGACACAGTAAGCCCAAAAGATATTTCCAGATTCCATGTTGGTAGGTTTTTCTGCATAGCCCTATATATTGTCCTAAAACCACATGTCATTATGTAGCTTCATGTCATCTTTTTAAAAATACAATGACCACACCCACTTTGAATATGCCTGCTGCCACCAATTGAGTCCTAATTCCTTTCCAACCAGGCTTCGGTACCCACACCTCCTGAACTCCTGGTTTCAAAGCTTTGTTATTTCTATTTAAAAAAAAAAAAAAAAAAGTTTTTTTTTTTCCCCAATCTTCATCTGGATGTATTAGAATAATATTTAGTATATATATATTATTTTTAACGAAAATTTCAGCAAGAGATATATAGTTACATTCTCTTAATGAATAGAGTGATTTGTTCTAATGGTGTTTGTAAATAGGATATCATGTCCGCATCTTGTACAGCAATTAACCACTAGGAAGAATGAATGCAATGTGTTAATTATTGAAACTGTCCTACCAATTTGATTTGAAACTGTCTCATTGCTATTTGTTTATCATTAAAATTTTGGGGAAAAAAAAGAACAACAGAAAGTTAAAAAGAAAGAAGAATAAAAAGATTAAAAAGAAAAAAGAATAAAAGTAAGAATAAGAATAAAAAGAAAAATTAAGCATTACCTGCTCCTTTATATACCTCACAGATCTAGAAAAATAGACAAGCAAGCAAACATAAAAATTCCTAAAATTTATCTGGGACCAGAAGTGACTTAGAATAGCAAAAGCAATCCTGGTCAACAAAGGAAAGCCAGGAGGAGGCATCAAAACAACTGACTTGAAATTATACTACAAAGCTCCTGCAATAAAATCAGCATGGCACCAGCTTTCACTTTTGAAGCCCTGGGCGCTACACATTGGAGAACTGTTGTCCTGCAAGTTGTCCTGTGCATTGTAGGGTGCTTGGCAACATCCTTGGCCTCTACTTAGCGCTGGAGCATCATCTCTGAAACTTACTTCTGTAAGTTGAAGCACTAGAAAGGTACTGTACGTCTGGATGACCTAGTGAAAGTGAGCAGGCCCAAACCAACTGCTTCGGGAGAGTATTCATGGAGCAATCTAAGAAGGAGAACAAGCACCCTTCAATATGTACATCAAATGTGTTCAAATGGCAAAATGAGTGATATGTGTCTAGAGTGAGTTTGGATTTGAAGCCAGAATAATTGGACTCATTAAGGAAAGAATGGGAGTGGCCATGCACGCATAATTTTCCCTACTGAATGAAACCCAGATTCTTTGCTACTAGTGGGATCAAACCATGAGCTTGCGTTCCACAACTAGATGGTTGATTCAGCAAAGTGGGCTATGTCAACCCTCTCTCCTCCCATGACCCCAAAGGTTGACTTCCACCTAACGGTGCACTGAAAGCTGCTTTGTGCATCTTCTTTTCCTTCATGGTCCATGGGGCAATGAGCAGCAGTCAGCAGGCTGTGAAAATAAGAGCTGAGTCAACCAGATTTCCTCTGCATGGAACAAAAATTAGAAGAACAACCTGAATTTGACAACTGGAAACTGACAATAGTTGACTCAAGTTGATGGCAAAGTGAAAAGTGAAAAACCTGTAGTTTGACTGAGGATAGACTCTACACCTCTGGCTCTTAGAAGCCAAACTTTCCTGCCTCCTATCAATTAAATCTGTTTCTTGGATTTATAGCAATGTCTGTTGCTTGTGCTACCTTGTGTAGGTCTCTGTTGTTTCTATTTTAAAAACTAGAGTTTTATTAAATTCATGGAAAATCTAAAAAAAAAAAAATTTCAGCAAGATTTATTTATAAGATGGCAATAGTAAAGGACTAGAAGAAGTATGGTAAGACCACCAGGTAAGGTGCACAAGCTCCAGGCACGCAGCTGACAAGTTGTCACCGGCCTCAGGCCAGAAACCCTAAAGGATGGGAGGGGAAACGGAGAAGTTGAGGTTTCCCTCAAGAGTTGCAGTAGGCTGATGTGACCTTAAGGGGGCGCGCAGGTGCACATTTGCTCTCAATTCCACCCCTTCCTCCCTCCCAACATAGAGCGAGCTAGATAGGGACTCTGGAAAACAGACTGCCATGCCAAAGGTAATGGCGTAGATCACAAACAGCCTGCACCTTTTTGCTGTAGTTCTATTTGTTAGCTACTCACAAAGTATCTTGGGCTGGAGAGATGGCTCAGTGGTCTAAAGCACCTACTTGAATCAAGCTTGGCGAAGCACAGGGACCAAGGTTCGATCCCCAGCACCACATGCCAGCCAGCCCCGCCCCCTGGTGGGCTGAGCTGGCCACATACACACACAATAAATAAATGTAATAAATAAAAAATAAATAAATAAATAAATATTAAAAAAAAAAAAGTATCTTGCTTACTTTTTCTTATTATTGAGACGAAATACCCAAAGCCCAAAGTTCAAGGAGAAAAGGGTTATTTTGGCTCACAGTTTGTAGAGGTTCAGTCCACAGAGAAATAATGGTGCATGGCGAGCAGGAGGGGGCGGCAGCGCAGCAAGCAGCTGCCTAATATTTAGTATATTGCCCTTCACCTACTCCTAGTAACTAACACTTCTTGTGCTTGGTTTCCAGGGCAGGATTCTCTTGTGGTTTTGTTTTCTGTCCCTGAACTACTCCTTTTCAGATTCCTTTGCCTGCTGCTTATCTGTGGATCTCCCATTGTTGTATTTGTTCATTTGTTTGTTTTGTTTTATATATTTGGTACAGGGTCTTACTACTAAGCCCGGACTCATAATGATTCTCCTATTTTCAGCCTCACCGGCACTGGGATTACAGGCAAGCACCATCACATCCAGACTCAGTGGCTCAGTGCTCCTGGGAGCAGGGCCAGCGTAGCATGTGGTGCCAGAGATCAAACCCAGTCCCTACACTTGCCTTAGCAGGCAGGCACTTAGTCCACTGAGCTATCTCACCAGCCCAGGGACCTGTCATTGTTAAAAGGCTTAATCCTCAGATCTTTCTCTCTACAGATTTTTTGGCTGTCTAGATGACCTCACCCAATGTCAATATTTAAACATCACAGGAACAGTGGCAGCTTCCAGCATTCCATCTCCAGTCTGGTGTCTGCTGACTTCAGACTCCTGTCCAGTCTCCCTCTCAGCATTTCTGCCATCTAGGAGGCATCTCAAATTTAGTTTTTGTTTGTTTGTGTATTTTTTGGTTGTTTTTTTTGTTTGTTTGTTTTTTTCTTTGTGTGTGTGTGTGTGTGTGTGTGTGTGTGTGTGTGTATTTTAGGGAAGGGTCTACAGGATGTTCAGGGGCTCACTACTAGATCAGACTCATAGTGAGTCCCCTGTTTACAGCCTCCCAAGTACTAGGATTACAGGTGTGCACCATCACACCCAGTCTCAATCGCAGTCTCAGTGTGCCCCAGGGACAGGGCCGGCATGTCAGGCCCAGGTATCAAACCCCTGGCTCCTGTGCCTGCTTGCAGGCACTTTAATCCACTGCGCTATGTGGGCAGCTGTCAAACTTAGTGTTACCAAAACTAAATTGCTAATTCTTACCCCAGACTTGTTCCATCAGTAGTCCTGCCCCTTATGGACAAATGGCAGCGCCACTGCTCCAGCTGGCAGGAGTTGGCCTTACTTCTCCTCCTTTGTCACACTCCCTGTCCAGTCCTTTGTCATACTCCCTGTCCAGTCCTCACCACTCTGCTCACCCTCGGTCCCATGTCACATCCACCTGTCTTCACCTGTATGTTTACAGCCATCGCCTACCTGGCTTTCCTTCCTCTCTTCTTGCTTCCCTGGAGTCAGTTTTTACTGTTTCCTCGCTTGTATTTCCCTCTAGATGAGTACGAAGCTTACCCTCTTACCTCCCCATGGTCTCTGAGAAATGTTCTTTATCATGCATTCTTTCGCTGACCTCCTTCTACCCCAAACCTTCTGGTTTCTCCACCCTGCAGTGTTTGTCTTTGTAACATTTATCACTACTGTATTAGTATCTCTGTGATTGTTTACTGGCAGTCTTTTCCAGCCAGAATCTACAAGCTCAGGAATTTCCTGATTTGTTTACTGCATGATTCTACAGTTCCTAGAACAGTGTGACTCAGTTACTACATCCAGGCCTTCCATTTCCTTGTCCTCTATTCTGCCCTAAGTCCTTTCTAATGACTGAATGAAAATTGGCACAAAGAAAGGACAAAATAGCTTCCAATGGAGGCTAATCATTCTAGATCAGATTATCTCAGCTTTGGTGCCAAGGGAAAGGCAGACTATCCCAGAGTGTGTGTGTGTGTGTGTGTGTGCACATGAGCACACATGTCAGCCTGCCTGCCTGCCTGCCTGCCTGCCTGCCTGCCTGTCTATGACCACTTGGCTCTTGATATTTTAAACACTAGCATATACCACAGTGTTCAATGTGCTGGACATCCAGAATTCCTTCTTAATTTCCAGCTCTAAAAAGAAAATACGATACTACATTTATCAATGTGTTTTTTCATTCTGTTCTCAGTGTCTTCTATTTTTACCGTCCCAAATGTGAGATTGCAACCGGAAGCTGGAGAGAGCATGCGGGCCTTTGGGAAAAACAATAGTTATGGCAAAAGTCTATCAAACAGCAAGCACTGACAAGCACAGTATTCTCAAGAGAGAACAGGTAAGGTGACATCCTTTATCTGGAAAGCACTATATAATGCATATTGAATACTTCTTATATGCACTATTTCAGACTTATTCCCTCCTCTCCTAAAACTATTTCTGTGCCTCTTGGGTTTATTATGGCATTGGTGCACCATTTACTGAGGCAGAGGGCAGTGGTTATGTCTACATTTCCAGGTACCTACCAGCTTCTAACAGAAGTTATATTTTATGTGGCACTTTAGTTATATAGCCATAAGCAAACCACTTGAGTCACAGACAGGTCATCTTAACAACTCCCATACTCTTCCTTGAGATTAGAAAAATGTCCTCGTAGGCTGTTTCTGCCACAGACTCGCTTTGTTTGGCCCATCCAATTTTTTAAAAAAATTATTTGCTCTTAATTTAAAAATTGAGAGATTTTTTTTTTATAATTTTATTGAGAAACAAATAGCAATGAGAGAATTTCAAATCAAATTGGTAGGACAGTTTCAATTATTAACACATTGCATACATTCTTCCTAGTGGTTAATTGCTGTACAAGATGCGGACATCATATTTTATTTATAAACACCAGTAGAACAAATCCCTCTATTCATTAAGAGAATGTAACTATATATCTATCCTAGCCACTTTGAATACACAGATACAAAATGAAAATTGAGAGCTTTTAAACAAAGAATCTAGATATCTAGTTTAAAATAAAAATCAAAGGCTGGCAAAATAGCTTAGCGGACTAAGCGCCTGCTTGGGCAAGCACAGGGACCAGGCTGGATCCCCAGTGTCACATGTCTCACTGGCCCCGCCCTGAGCACGCTGAGCAATTGACCGAGTCTAGGTGTGGGGGCGCGCGCCTGCAGTCCCAGCACTGGGGAGGCTGAAAACAGGAGGATCACTGTGAGTCCAAGCTGTGTAGTAAGACCCTATACCAAATACATAAATTTCAAAAGCAAAAAAATCAGCAGCCCTAGCAATGCTACACTGTAATTCTTCCTGGGAGGTTTTCTGTATGATCGCAAGGACAGTGACCTCCCTGTCTAGCTTAGCTCTGTTGACATGTGGACCACATCACCATGTTTGAGTCCTGTCTGGCCCACATCACAAATCTTATTATGGTTAAGCTTATCTTTGTCACTGCTTGATTCTTTGACCACTCCTGTTCAGCAGACAGGAAGCAGAACCTAAATATGACCGTGTCTAGGCATGTCAGCCTGTCCTGACCCTCACATGCGCTGTGTGGTAAAAAGCGTGAGGTGGCGGTTTCTGAGAAGTCAGTGTTTCTTCCCACACAGGGAAGACCTGCTGGACTGTGTCCTGTGGAGGAGTGCACACGTGTACCTTGTTCCTGAGAATGCTGAGTAGTCAGGAGTACAGCCAGAGACACGTCCAGGGTTGCAGGAGCTTTTCTGCCTTCTAATTTGAAGTATGTTGAGAGGTTAAGTTGACAGCGTAGCAAAAGCACCAAGTTAAACCTCCCATTTCCTGGTGGATCGCTTGTGGTCGAACTATTTCAGGAATTAACTTGGGATAGTGTCAATGTGGAGGCCTAGTTTCGCTTATCTGAGATATGACAGTGATTTCTGAATGATTTGGAGGCAAAGATTATCAGGTAACTATAGTATGTAGATGCATCAGAAGATATTACTATTAAACTTACCAGTCCAGGGGTAAGAGTAGAATTCTTCTTCAGATTATTTCTCCTTATTGGACACAAAGTTACCTAGAAAGAAACACAACTTTCTTACAGAGCAGCTGGGCCCCCACTCTGAATTGCAGCTGGTCAAGTGTTGGGGCTCAGTTTTTGACCAGTTACCTCCTGGTTCTAAGAGTGGTTTTGATTCATGGAGGTTGTGGCATATGCTTTTTAGAAGTAGTTAACCTGCATTACCATAATCAAGGCCCCTGGCTTTGTAACTCCCTTACCCAGTTCAGTAGCACAAAGCAAAAAAAGTAGACTTTATTTGCACAGCTAACCAGCTAACTCACACACCACACACACATAACACATGCACACACACACACATCACACACACACACACACACACACACACACACACACACACACACACTTGCCTGAATTTCAATCACAGGCTGTGTCCTTTCTTCTTGGCTCTTTCTGATCTCTGGACCCAAGCCTGGCCAGTCGAAGCTGCTAAGTCCTTGTTTTAATTCAGCTTCTTCTTGTAAAAATAAAATCAAGCTGACTGGATAGTACATTGTTCAGAAAGTCTCAGAAACTGCTAATTGAAAAGATGTTTTTAAAAGATTCTCAGATCTGCAGTCATCAGTATTGGAAAGCCTGTACAATTTCAAATTGGGTGGAGTTTTTTGACAGTATGTTTTTCAAACTCGATCAGAGGTTATATTGGCCCAGTGGAAGCTTCTCTAGAATTACTTGAAAACAATACAAATATTTTTTCCATCAATTTTGTGTTTTTCAAGTCAAGTTTTAAAGCTTTAATATTATTATTGTTCCAAATCCAAATTCCTTAGCTTGATTCTACATGATACTGAGGAAACATCTCAATTTTTCTCCTCTCAGAAAAGCTGCAGGAGAGCTGGATTCTCACAGCTTTCCATCAGCTTGCAGAAAAAGAAATCGTTTTAATGTCTGTCTTTGCCAGGTTTATTTTTTAAATTTTAATCAAATGGAACCATCTTAGAGGTCAAGTAATGCAGTCTCTTTATGAACATCATATATCATCTGGAGTAATTATAGTTTAGAGCAAAAAGCCTGCCCAAATAAGGTATCTTTAACCAAAAGTATGTAATTCTCTGGCCTTTGATTGTTTTCTTGTTGTTGCTGAATTTATCAGCTGTTTATAGAGAAAACGGTGACATCTTACATTTTTCCAGACCTTGGGAAGGACAGCAAAGAAGGGAGACTGGGGGCTCAGAGATTGGCATTGTAATCAGCTTTCTCTGGGGAAGGATGGGGAGGGAAGAGTAGGAGGCCTGATCCATAGCCCAGGCATTGAGAGGATGGGGGGGCAAGCAAAGGGGTGCTTCAGGTCCTCGCTCTCTCCTGTGTCTCAGTGCCACACTGTTTCTTTGCTTGCCTACTAAGGTCACTTCAATTATTTAGTTAATAATGCTGGATTTGCATAAATTGGCCATAGTGCAAAAGCTAATGAGGTACATTTTGCTCTGCAGAGAGAGCAATTTTAGTTTTAGAATCTTGTAATGAAATTACATGAAAAGAAAGCCACAAGTGCCTAAGTTAAAAATGAGATAGGTGCCACTGTTGATCAAAATACTATGGCTTTCCACGTGTTATTGTCCTCTAAAGATACCAGGAGACTCAAAAGCTCATAGGTTGTTCCTACTTTATTTTACTGTCACTGAGAAACAACACCCTTTTGAAGCCTGAGAAAGCCTTAAATGTGTATAAAAATTCTCTCCAACATTGAGCCCAGAAGCTGCACGGAGTATAACACCCATTAGTGTTGCTTATATGTACACCTGGACATGCTCCACCACCCTGTGCTGAGCTTAGTTTCCAGTCATTTTAAACTGATACAGGAGATGTGTGGTCTCCCTCTACTTCTCCTTTGCGAATGCAAAGGATAAGAGTGTCCATGCTCTTTCAGACATCTGTTTTATCACTCTTCTGAAATAGTATGTGCTTTTTATGGAATATCTCTTTTTAATAAATTAATTGGTCTTCAGACCCCATTAAACTCATATTATTTTTATGAATATCTGTCTAAGGCATGAAAGAATCTTGTTTGCTTCAAGAGCAAGAATTTAACTGTATTCCGTTGATGCTTTTCTTACATTTTACACGTTACCTCCATTGGTTCCCATTGTTTAAGACTGTACAAAATGGTCAGACTCTTCCTCCTTGACTCAGTCATTAAGCAGTAATTTCCTAAGAGTAGTCTGTCAGGTAAAGGAAGTAGAATGCATTAATTTCTGGAGGAATTTTAAATAAGATAAAACTTGTTTTAGAAATCAGATTCTAGACAGAACCCAGTGCCTGGAGCTTCCCATGTCTGCCATCACCCTCTGGACACGTGGGGGAGCAGCGCTCTGACACTCCGGGCACCAGACCCCTGCCTGGTCCCTCAGATGCAGTTCCTGGTGCCCATGAATCTGCATCTTAAAGCTCTCCATGGGATGCGGAGGCAGGCAGCCTTTGAACCACAGATAATGAAATCCTCAGTAGGTACACAGCAATTATATATTTATGAAGTAGAATGATCAATTCATTTGAGTCAGGATGGGATAAACATGAATTAGAAAATAGGGCTCCATCACATGTAAGAAAGCAGTGTTCTTTTTTTCCCTTCCTCCCACCTTTCCCCTCTCCCTTCAGCCCAGTTTTCCTTCCTTCTCTCCGTTATGAATAAATGAAGTTATGCCGACCACCAGTAGGAATGTTTGGCTAGTTAAATTTTTAATTAACTTTAAGTAAAAACTTCCTGTCCTCGGTAGCAGTGTCATGTTTCAGGTGCTCAGTAGCTTCACATAGTTGGAGCTCCTATTAGACAGGACATACTTAGAACACTTCCATATCTTAAAATGGTCCACTAGACAAGGGTGGTGAAGAGTGTTCTTTCCACCTGCCTTTGAAAAGAGGCATCAGGAAAAGTAACCAGAAATGAGGAAGTAAACATGTATTTCAGTTCAAGATGATAAGGATATGTGGGGAGACCAAAGTGTGTGAGGAGGAAAGTGTTCAGGTGAAGCCAGAGGCAGGCCAGGCAAGAAGGATAGAGATTGATCACTGAGAAGGACAGAGAGGAACACATCAGGCCCAGTGCGCACAGGACCAGAGGGTCTGGGGACTCTGGCCTTGGGATCTTACAGGAGAAAGTGACAGAGCCAGGCTCCCTTGGTTAACAGGCCATGAAAGGAAGAACAGCTGAGTAGTCACGCAGGCATTCTTCACAGAGGCCAGAGTGTCAGCTAGGATCCAACAGCAGCTTTAGTTTCTCTGGCATCTCAGCTCTGAAAAGTGTTCCTGGAGAAACAGATACCTATTGCTCTCCTCCACGCTGTGACTTTATGGCGGTTCACTTTTTCTGTCTTTGCCTCGCCTCA